AACTCAAGCAGTTAGAAATGCCAGACGTAACTATTATACAAATAAGCTCCAGTCAGCATCAGGCGATAGTAAGAAAACCTGGAATGTCAAAAATTCTATTCAGAACAGGAACACTCAGCCTTCGACCCCCCACTCAGCTTTTATGATAAACGATTCCGTTATAACGGAACTCTCCCTCATTGCCAACCACTTCAATGAATATTTTATTAATGTTGGGAAAAATCTTGCAGAGAGCATCCCTGATCACCATGAAGAATTTAGAGCCTACCTGCAAAACAAATAGCAAAATGAACTATTCTTATCCCCTGTCACAGCAGATGAATTACTGGCCATCATAAAAATGTCCAAAGATGCAGCAGCAGGCGAAGACAATATACCAATGAGCATCATTAAAAAAGTGGCCCACTTATTACTACCTGTTCTTCTCCACATTTGTAACTCCTCCTTCACTAGTGGTGTCTTTCCTGATAAACTGAAAATTGCTAAAGTTCACCCAGCATATAAAAAATTTGGGGACAAAGGTCTCTTCAAGAAATACCGCCCCCTATCAGTCCTCCCAGCCTTGAGTAAGATACTGGAAAAGCTAGCATGTAATAGACTAAATTCCTTCTGCAAAGCCAATGACATATTTACAGACTCCCAGTTTGGATTTAGAGCTAGAAGGTCTACTGAGAGTTCTCTGCTATCCTTTACTAATGACATCTTAAATTCCTTTGATGACAGTCAGTTCACAGTCGGTATATTCTTGAACCTCTCTAAAGCCTTCGATACTGTCGACCATGCCATCCTCCTTTCAAAGCTTGAACATTATGGCGTTAGGGGCCTGTCCCACAATTGGTTTACCTCATATCTGTCCAACAGGATTCAGTATGTCTGTTATAATAACCACCAATCTGACTTCTCACCTATCTTGTATGGAGTCCCCCAAGGTTCAATTCAAGGTCCAGTACTGTTTTTGTTGTACATAAACGACATAGTCCACGCCAGCCCACTCATAAAATACAACTTATTTGCAGACGATAGTAATCTCTATGCCAGCAACTCAGACCTCCATTCCTTGATGAGAACTATGAACACTGAACTAACTAAAGTCGGGACCTGGGTAATACGTAATAAACCGACCCAAAATCTTGAGAAAACCCACTGCACGATCTTTCACAGAAGAAAAAACTTACCTCCAGACTTGAACCCCCTGTACCTTGGTAATATAGTCCTCAAACGCGAACAAAATACTAAATTCCTTGGAGTTATTGTTGAGGAGAAACTTATCTGGAGAAACCACATACAAGCCATACACAGTAAAATCAATAAACTATGCAGTATCATGTATTACACTCGACAGTCACTCACTCTCACAGCAATGAAAGAAATCTATCATGATCTTCTTTACCAACACCTGTTACACTGTCACACACTATGGGGGGGGGGGCCTCTGGCACTTCATAAACACAATCTCTGGTTACTGCACAAAAGAGAGTTGTACGGACAATGACCTACTTGAAAAAAACAGATCACACAAACGAAAAATTTGCTATATTGAAAATTTTAAAATTCGAAGATATTAACACTTACTGCTGTGCCCTCTTTGTTTACAAATCTATCAATCACTTGCTTGACAATAATTACTTCCAGTTCCGGAATAATCAGAGATACAACTTAAGACACCCAGAACTACTAAGATCACCCCCCATGCGCTCCTCTCAGTCCCAGACCTCCATAAAATATCATGGTGTGAAGGTATGGAACAACTTATCCCCACCCATACGAGCAAAGACTACGCCCCCTTCCTTTAAATCATCTCTAAAAAAATATCTATTGTCGAAGTATTAATATTTCTTGTAACACTTACTATATTTACAGTAACTGCTTTTATTGTACCACCAAATCCGTTTTATCGGAAATTATCATGTAAATATATAAGTAATTATCATTGCAATCCGCATAATTCCCAACTAGACATAATCCTGACAGCTCTGTCCTCTTGTTCAACCTTATTACTGCACAACCCAGGTTGTACTGCTCCCCCATTATAATTATGTTTTTAAATTCCACTCTAATTTATATGTATATGTGTATGTGTATATATGTGTGTATATATATATATATATATATATATATATATATATATATATATATATATATATGTGTGTATGTGTGTGTATATGTATTTATATATATATATATATATATATATATATATAGTTGATAAAAAATATCGGTATTCTAGTTGTCTTTTATTCAAGACAGCTTTGCTTCTCTGAAGATGTCTTGAATAAAGACTGCTAAGGTGCCCGTTGTTCTTCCTGTGTGATTTTATCAAGATTTATCTTATCCACGTTTTCATTGTGGATCTACATGATTCATATATATATATATATATATATATATATATATATATATATATATATATATATATATATATATATATATATATATATTTTGTTACGAGTTGGGGACTTAGAATATAGTTATACGTCTACCCAGATCCCAACAGGTAACAATAATAAAAAAAACAAAGACAATCGGACTATAAAAGGGTAGACAAAGGATGCGAGTTTTCGTTGTGTATAATAGAGTACCATAAATCCTTAACAAAATATTCAGCTTATAAATTACCCTTAACCAAACTTAACCTAAACATTAACAGTATATACATATTAATAAACATAAAACAATCTTGAAGCAAGTGGACGTGGGGGAGGCAATACAAATACAAGTACTTAAGTGAGGAGCTGAGATGGCTGACGAGTAAGGCTGAGTATTGAGAAGACGGTAGGTAGTCACTGCCGTAGTTTAGGAGGATAGATGATCCTGTGGTCACTTCCCAGAGCCAAGTACTTCCTCGAATTGGAGCTGACAAAGAAGACTTTTGAGGAGGTGACGCAACAACCAGGATAGGGAGAAGGAAACCCGAGTGGTAACTAAGACGAGTCATACTGTGTCTCTCCCTGAGCAGGGCGTTGCTCGTGGTGCTGGGCAGGTAGACTCACAATAGGATGGCGTGCTTAGTGCTGGGGTGGAGGGGTTCGTAACACTATATATATATATATATATATATATATATATATATATATATATATATATATATATATATATATATATATATATATATGTATATGTGAATGTATGAATTTGTGTATATATGTATAGGTATGTGTATATGTATGTATAAAAAAAAAAATAATAATAATAATAAATAATAAAATAAATAAATATTTAAGTGATAACCGTGGTAACAGTATGAGATGTACTTATTAGTACCATGGGGGATCGGTGGTAGAAGCGGTACCGTTCTTGCCTCGCAAGCAAGATGTCACGGGTTCGATTCCCGGGCCGGTGGAAGTTGTTTAGACTTACTTCCTAGCCCCCATTATTCCCTGTTCACCTAGCAGTAAAGTAGGTACCTGCTGTTAGTCAAAAGTTGCGAATTCGTATTCAGGGACAAGTTGTTGGAGCTTCCAATAACTTGATGACAAAAACCACTGACTCTTCAGGCTTCTACGCCCTTGACTCTTCAGGCTTCTAAGCCCTTAACTCATGAGACATAAAGGCAAGCATGAACTTAGCATGCTTCCCTGTTGGGCGCTGTAAACGCTTCTGCGCTTCGCCTTACACATGCTATTGTACTATTCCAGATGATACTTAATGTTACAAAATACCTCCTTGAGATAAATGTATAGTATATATCAGGGCCTCAAAGAGAGCTCAGGTTCTCAACTGGCTCAGCCATGTTAATATTGTTATTATTATCCACTCTGTATCTGTATTTTTCTGGCTAAATAAACTGTTACAATTCAATTGTGTGTGGTTTTAAGATGTTGCTGTATGTCAGGAGGCAGGGAAGTGTGTTTGTGACACACTAGACCATTGGTTCTTAACCTGGGGGACGCGCCCCCCAAGGGGGGGTCAGTAATTTCCAGGGGGGGGGGGCGCAAGCCCTAGGGAAAAAGTAGGAATTTCTCTAATTATAATTATAGTTTTTATTCTCTTAACAAGAGCGTGGGCTAATATTGAGAAGTTTATGAAAAAATGCAAAAGTATCGCCTTATAACTTTAGTTTTCTATAGGCTACTTTTTTTACTTAGGCCTTACCATTTTCTGTACTTATTGACCCCCCTCCCTATCCCTCGAAACCCATGGGGGGGGGGGGGGTTAACTCGTCCTGGACCTGTATACTGCTCGTTGGTGACTGGTGAGCCCCGTTCTCTCCCAGTCTTCTCACACGTCCGTGGCAATAATTCCTCTTCTCTCACATTTATTCAGTTAAGGCTGTTGAGGTATGTTTTATCCCAGTTGCTATATTTACCTAAAAATAGTAAGCAGCCATAAGTTTATTGGTGAATTGTGAACACGCATGTGTTGCTCTGTTTGTTATTCGCAAGTTTTGAATTCCGTTTGTATTTTATCAGAAGTTGGTGGTGCTTAAAATCATGTGGTGGTAACAGGTGGTTATGGTAAAGTTGTATTTATGATGATATTGATTTGTTTCTTAATAATCATGTGTTTATGATCATGATGTGTTTACTATAATGTTGTGGTGTTTGTTAATATTTACTTAATAATTATGTGGTGGTGTTTATGATCATGTAGTGGTGCTTATGATCATGTTGTGATCATTGATGTTTGTTAATAATCATGTGGTGTTTATGATCATGTGATGTTTGTTAATGATATGGTGGTGTTTATGATCATGTATGATTGTAGTCACTTGTAGTGTTTACGAGCTTTACGATCATATGTTTGTTATTGATCATGTGGTTGTGATTATCATGATGTTGTGGTGTTCATGAGCACGTGGTGATGTTTATCTTACCTTACACGTGCCTTATGTCTTGTTCACAGATTTGTGTTGTCCACTGCACATCAAATAATTCGCAATGAGTGCAAAGAAGCGGAAGTATCTTGACGAATATATTCGATTTGGATTCGTGTCTCTCCAAAAGGGTGACACAGAGGTCCCCCAGTGTGTGATATGTTACAAGACTTTGAGCAATGATGGAATGCGGCCCTCACGCTTGGAACGCCACTTGAGGACAACACATCCTGCTCTAGCTGACAAGCCCAAGGCATTCTTTAAAACAAAAAGACACTCCTTGAAGCAAGTTAAGTTGGACGGCAGTGGGGCATTTCGGCAACAAACTTCAATGGTTGTTGAGGCTTCCTATGAGATCGCCATGTTGATTGCAAAGAGCAAGAAGAGCCATAACATCGGAGAGTTTCTCATAAAACCAAGCATACTCCGTGCAGCAGAACTCGTTCTGGGGAAAGATAGTGCAAACAAGCTTTCCCAAATTTCACTATCAAATGATACAGTCAAGGTAAGGATCGATGAATTGTCTCAAGACATCAAAGATCAAATTCTCGACCAAGTAAGAGATTCTCCTGTTTTTGACATCGCTCAGGCAACAGTGTAAAAGAGGAAATGCTGTTCTGTCACCCCATGGAAAGTTGTACAACAGTAGCAGCTATTTTTCATGATGTATCAAACTTCTTTCAGGAAAACCAACTTTCGTGGGACTCGCTGGTAGGGGTGTGCACTGATGGAGCTCCAGCCATGCTTGGTCTGCAGTCTGGATTCATTACAATGGTGAAAGAAAAATATCCGTCTGTTGTAGGTACACACTGCATACTTCATCGTGAATCCTTAGTATCCAGAACTTTACCTGCTGAAATGAGGGATGTCCTGAACGTGGCTATCAAGGTAGTCAACTTTATCAAAGCTGGAGCCTTAAACAGTCGTCTCTTCAAACTGCTGTGTAAGGATATGGAATCTGAACATGAAACCTTGCCTTTTCACACGAACGTACAATGGCTATCAAAGGGGAACATGCTTGGACGGCTTTATGAACTACGAGAAGAAGTAGCAATATTTCTTGATTCGAAGCAGAAGGCAGATATCCATGACAAGTTTCAGCCTGAAGGCTTTCAGCTATCTCTAGCTTACCTGGTGGACATCTTCGAAGCGTTGAATGCTCTCAACCTTAAACTACAAGGAAAAACATCAACATCATCATGCACCACAATACCATTCGAACCTTCGTGGCCAAACTCGACCTCTGGAAGTATCGAATTCAGCAGGGAAATGCAGCCAGTTTTAGTAACTTGGATTCTGCTCTCATTCACGGTAACCTTGATTCTGAGTTAAAGAAACAAATAATCACTCATCTAACTGACTTGAAAACAGAATTCATCAGATACTTCCCAGACATAGATGAGAAGCGTGAAGCCTGGAAATTCATGAGGAACCCATTTCATTGTTAAGTAGCTGATGTTTCGGATGAATTGCAAGAGGAGTTTCTTGAGTTGAAGTTCAACTCCACAGCTAAGGAAGACTTCAAAGAACTGGATTTTGAGACGTTCTGGGTCAAGTACCTTCCTGTTTACCCTCTGATCTCACATCAGGCTCTTCGGATTCTAACTATGTTCGGATCCACGTATCTTTGTGAAGCTGCATTTTCCACGCTCGTTGCTGTCAAGACCAAGTACAGAAACAGGCTGAACGTTGAAGGGGATTTACGTTGTGCTCTCTCTGGCATTCAACCACCTATTCAAGATCTAGTAGCTAAGAAGCAGTGCCAAGTATCTCACTAAATTATACTCAATAAAAAGACTAAAAACACAATATTTTTCACTTTTCTTTAAAATCTGGGAGGGAATTTTATTCATAAATGCAAGGGGGGCGTGGAGGGAAGGACCAATTCCTAGAAGGGGCGTGGTAGTAAAAAGGTTAAGAACCACTGCACTAGACCATTGGTCTAATAGCATGTCAGCATATTCTGCAGGGCTGTGATGAAGTTGTACTGGGGTGGGTGACTTGGTAATAGCTCTAATTTTGTTCCACACTTCTGCTAGAGTGGTTGTTCTATTAAACCCCTGTAAGAATTGTTCCCAATAGGTGTTTCTCACCTGACCTATGAGTTGACGAAATGCACTGTTAGCTTTGAGGAATGCCAGGAGGTTATCACTAGTTTTCTTTTGCTTATAAGTGTTGACAAGCTGTTCTACCTTCTCTCCTTCTTTGGTGAGGATGGGGTCATGTGTCCACAGAGGTGGTTTAGTGCTGCCCCCCTTCCTCCTTGACTTAATCCAGGTGGTATAATATGTGGTAATGACATTTACAAGATCACAGCAAAATTCATCCACTGACTCAGGTGTATATCCAGCATACCATCTGTGGATGTAGGCCTTGAAGTGCAGTTTAAGATTATCTGGGATGTTAATTCTGAGCTTCTGAGCTTAGGATGGGGTTCACACTTAACTCAGTAACAGTGTACTCAGTACGTATTGCATAATGATCACTGACTAGGTGGTTTGAGATGCCCTTCGCCTTGATATTACTGTCTAGCACGGATAGGCCTATTGCGTACATTACCATCACAACAGGGTCCCCCTGCGTTGTTCCCTCAGTTGACTGTATGATGGTATCACCTCTTAGAGCCTTGTTGTTTACTATATAGAGGTCTGATGGATTCCTATAGGTGTTTTCAACATACATTGCAAAGCTTGGACACTTGATCTTGATGTTGTGCAGTGCGGTCATGCGGTTAAGTATGTTGAATGCATTTGAAGCGTCCACCAGGAGAACGGCCTCACAATCACGATGCTCATATATCGTTCTCATGGCGTGAATGGCAGCTTCTCCTCCAGCCTGGTGGCCAGCACAAACTTGCAGGTTCCCTGCTGCTGCCCTGACATCATCCTTTACCACCTCCATTATGCATTTTCCGATGATCTGCCTCAGCACTTCCCCCACCCCTATAGGCCTACATCCTGGATTCTTATCCAGGGGAATGAGGCGGCAGGCCATCAGAGCATGGAGGTGTTAGTTGCACGAGGTTGCTAGCTTTCTTGCAAGGGCGGCAATGGCAGTGCAGCGATCACTTGCTACGGAGCCAAACTTGTTAGTGCTGAAGATGACTCTCCAACCGTTTGCATCCAGACCTGAAGGGCCAGCCCCTCCCTGAGTCTTCAGTGCCTTTTTCCACACCATCCCTCCTGTTATTTTCTGAAACAGGACAGCATTTAGTGGGATTTAGTCACCCTGGAATCTGATGCCTTCGTCTTCACTTGCAGGGGGATGTTTTTTCTTCAGTTGTTTTAATGTCTCTGTGTTTATTAGCAGAACGCCACCGGAGGATTCCTCTGTGAGAGATCTTACCGCCAAAGACACTTTACCCACACACACGTATTTTGTTTCCAAACTTTCTTGCAACGTCTCCTATAAATGTTAGTCTCTTCTGCAGTGTTCTTGCTTCACATAGGAGATCACCAAGGGCCCCATTCTGCCACATTGTCAATCATCTCTTCATTGCTGCCACATTTTCTTTGTACTTAGTCTTTGTGTGTGTCCTCTGACAGAATAGATGTGGTATTATTGTCAGTATTTGAAGAGTTAAAGGGGCAAGGAAGCGGTCCTGAGTGCACTCGGTTATGAGGCGAGTCATATCCCGAATCATTTCTTTGGTGGCCGCATACTTGGGTGGTTCAAACAGGTTAGCTGGCGATCCACCTGACATTTTCTGAGTAAGTTTCTTTAACCGATATATCCGCATTTTCCATCGACATGCCATTCAACTGTGGTGGCTGTCTCTCATTCACCTCGTGGACATCTGCTACTTTTGGAGCAGCATTTATTGGTACTACATTTTCAGGTTGAGTAGACTCACTGCTATTATTTAGGATATCATCGGGCGGTTGGGTCCCGGCGATATCCACTGTGGCCTCCTGTGTCAGCTCCCTGCCATGTGGGTTCAAACAATTGTTTCCCTTTCTGCAAACCACACATGGTCGGTTGTTTCTCTCACAATCACAGCCAGTGCAATTTTGGTTCTGGCTACCACAGAACCCGGCATAGTGTTCCGCACTTTGGGCGACAGTTACATCAGCCTCCGACATCTGCTATGGTCCTATAAAGAAGAAGAAACTAGTTCTTATGAGGAAAGGGTGGAGAGGTGAGAGGCTGGACTGCCGTGTCCGGGTAGTAGGGGCATACATGCGCGTGTGGGTGTGTAGGAATCGTTGTAAGGATATTCTTCATAGGGCCAAGCGGAATTTTATTAACAGAAAGACCGCTGACCTGACTACCTGTTCTTCTGGCAAGTCCTTCTGTTTCTTCACCAAAAACATCTGCATTAACTTTCGTACTCCCTCTTTTCTTCCTCTCTTTACGACCTGATAACTCTATAGGCTATAGCCAACTCTCCCCCTGATGAAGCCAATCTTTTTGGCACCTTATTCTCTTCTAACTCCTCCTTAGAAGATTCCAACTCTATCCCTCCTACTCCAGCTCCTACTACTGAACCTATGCACTTTCCTATAATCTCCACTCGTAGGGTTGCTGGTGTGTTATCCATGTTGGGATAGGCGCATGGACCGGACGGCATACCCCTTCGTGTTCTGAAGGAGTGTGCTAAAATTCTGGCGCCTGTGCTTGCTCGACTCTTTCGCCTTTGTCTCAAAACCCAAACTTTTCGTTCTTCATGGAAGCATGCGTCGGTTCAGCCCATCCCGAAGAAGGGTGACAATTCCAGTCCCTCTAACTATCACCCCATTGCACCTAACTTCATCCCTCTCTAAGATTTTCGAAACTATCTTAAACTCTCATTTTCTCCATCACCTTGAGCGCCTTTCTCTTTTGTCGGATCACCAGTATGGCTTTCGCCAGGCGAGATCTATTGGTGTAAATGCCTGGGACTTAGGGATAGAAATCCCTAACCAGACTAATCAGGTTCTTAATTAAGGAAAGTCAAGGACCATGGTTTTCTGAGGAATAACAAACAACCGTTTGAGATTGACATCTCTTTACTATACAAAATATAACACAAAACTCTGACACCACTCAATAAACATCAAATAACAATTACGGGAGTCAAACAATTAAGTCAAGTCAAACAGTTAATGGAAGCCAACAATTAAAGGGAGCAAACAATTAAAGGGAGCAAACAATTAATGGGAGTCAACAACTGATAGAATCAAACAATGAACAAATATTTCCTACGGCAGTGGCCCTGGGGGAAGGTTCTGGAACACGGTGATGCACACTCAGGGTAGGGAAGCGTCCATTCAACTCCACACTCGAGAGAGGTCTTGAAATGGCAGGAGAACACCGGGACACAGACGGAATGAGATGAACTGGTAGTCGTGGTATGCGGTAGTGGTAGATGACAAGAGAATTGTCAGTCGATAGGTGAAGGTCTGAGAACACAGCCCACGAGTCCAGGACCTATGATGAGATCACAGCCAGAATTTGACGGACAACTGGGTAGCTAGATAGTAACTGTATGGCGGCTGGGTTGAATCTCCCTGTGACGCAGATAGTCGCTGCCGTTCTCACCTCTGTCCAAACCGCCCCAAGTGTCGTCCGCACCAGCAAACAAGCGAGTTAGCAACGGTAACCAGCAGGAAGATCGTTTCCGCCCTTACACAGCTCCCCCAACAAAAATCTACTGTAAGGTAGATTAAAACTTAAGATTAATACACAAAGCATAATCATCTTACAACAAATGCTATACAGTGGATCTGCGCAAAAGGTCCGCCCCAAGGTTGTCTTTTCTTGAGACGTGGACCACACGAAACCTATAACCCTGCAGACTTAGAGCCCACCGTAACAATCTGTCATTTGCCCCCTTGAATGTATTTAAATACAACAAGGGTTTGTGGTCTACCTCTAGGATAAATTCCTTTCCTCTCAGGTAATAATCAAATTTCAAAACCCCAAACAAAATGGCTAGACACTCACGTTCAATGGTGGAGTACCTCCTCTCCCTGTCTGGTAATTTTCTACTGGCATAGGCCACTGGGTGAGGACATGCCTGAACATATTGGAGGAGGACGGCTCCTAGGCCATGACTGGAGGCGTCCGTCCTAAGAACGAAGGTCAAGTGTTGATCAGGCAGTTTGAGGATAGGCTGCGTGGATAGCGAATTCTTGAGACGATTAAATCTGGCCAGCAGGTCGTCGTTCCAGACAAGAGGCTCCTTGTGGCCTTTCCTTAGTAGGTCAGATAAGGGTCCGGTATACTCAGATGCCTGGGGAATGAAAGCTTTATAAAAAGAGATCATACCGAGAAAACTACGGAGGAGTTTCTTAGTAGTAGGACACACCTCACAAAGGGCTTGTATTTTCTCAGGTTGGGGACGAAGATGCCGACCATCTAGCACGAATCCAAGATAATGAATAGACTCAAATCCAAACCGGCATTTAGATGGCTTTATCGTCAAAGCATGTTCCCTTAACCTCTCCAGGACAGCTTTAACGTCGCCAAGATGTTCTTGCCAATCTGAGGAATATATGAAAATGTTGTCAACATAAAAAGAAGCTCTAGGCAAACCGGCAAGGACGAGGCGCATCAGCCTGATGTACGTGGCACAAGCAGTCACCAGCCCAAATGGAAGCCGGCAGAATTCCATCAATCCTCTTCGAGTAGGAAATGCAGTTAGTGGTTTTGCGCGTTCAGTTAAGGGTACCTGGTAGTAAGCTTTACATAGATCCAACTCCAAGAAGTACTTCGCCCCTGAGAACTTATGCAAGTCTTCCTCCATAGAACAGGAGGGTTCGGCATGAAAGACAGTTACGGCATTTAACACCCTGAAGTCAATGGCCATCCTAAAAGTACCATCCTGCTTACGCACCATAACCACAGGAGAGCAGTGAGGGGACGACGACAATTGGATGATTCCCTGCTCAAGTAGACGGTCGACCTCTTCTTCAAAATAACTCTGGAGATGAATAGGGCCAGGATAAAGTTTGGCCTGCACATGCTGAGTGGTTGTAAGGAGGATGTCATGGTGTACAGTGGACGTGCATCCTGGAACGTTTGAGAATACATCCTCAAAGCTAGTAATCAGGTCCTCAGTGTCAGCACGTTGGTTCCTCTCCAATCCAGGTTTAAGTGCGGACCCATTGTCAGTCGAAGGGG